TTAATTTGCAAGCAGCGACTGGACAGCGTGTTAATATTTCATTATACATATATATATATATATATATATACGGGGTGTACGTACACTATCTCTCCTCTAGCAAGCGGCACTTTTAAGATTTGGCTGGCGTCCATACTTCCTGCTGCTTTGCCTGCTCCAATTAAAGTGTGTATTTCGTCGATGAATAAAATAACTTCATCTGCGTGTGCTTGCAAATAGCTAATTATTTCTTTCATTCTTTTTTCATATTCTCCCCTCATTGCAGACCCAGCAGACAAAGACAATAAATCTAGCGAAAATATGCGCCGATTACGCAAACTCTCAGGTACAGCTCCCTAAAAAAAACAAAGACAGACAAACAAACTTTTAAAAATATTTACTTTTTACGAATGATTTTTTTGTAATTCATTGAAGGGAATTCAATAAATCAAGTAAATTAATTAGTTTTACACAAATTTGCTCTATGGTGCATTGTAATTAATGGGGGGAGACGAAAATGAAAAAACTCATTCGCTGTAATTAAATAAAGCAAGCAAAACGAACCAATAAATATTTCAGTTGTATGGATCCTTCACGGCGCATGCTATTGATGAAGCCAACTAATTTAAAATAGAGATAAAAGAAAAACAATTTGCCTTTCCGTTCTATTCATTTCAATGCACCATGCTAGATGTTCGCTAGATAGGGGACAGTGAACAAATAAAACAAATCATGAAGGAAATAAGCAGTACAAGAAAACAAAAGCAAACAAACGATCAAACAAGACAAACTGCCAGCTTACTAATATAGCACAGACAGAACCCTAAGACGAGGAAAACAGAAACAAACGATGAATAAGCAAACAGAAACACCACATCGCCGCCTGCATGCGCACATTTCTAGGGTTGAGGGTTTAGGGTTTACCTCGACTATACGCTGAGCCAAACCCTCAATAACGGCGGTCTTCCCCACTCCGGGCTCCCCAAGCAGCATCGGCGCCTTCGTCATCTTCCGGCTCAAAATCTGCGCCCAAACTCTAAACCCTAAACCCTAAACCCTAAACCCACCTACAGCATATACACTGGCCTGTCCAGTAAGCACAGACGTGCATGCCGGCTTCGCCTTCCTAATAATGTATAGGCCACTGAATAGGGTTTATGCACCTGATTAGGGTTTATGCAACTGATTGTCTGATCGAGTTAATTAGGGTTTAGGTTACTGATTATGGCTTAAGCACATGAATAGTTCACCTCTGGATAGTTTTTCATCAGGGTTTAAACAGTTGATAGCTACCGTTTAGAATATCTTAGTTGTTTCGCTTTTAGGGTTTCGTATGCTTCAGTTTTTGCTCACGATTGCGCACTTCGGATTCCCTACGGCTATCTATGGTCTAGGGTTTGCTAGGGTTTGCGGTTATTTTCTAGGTAACAGAAGGTTTCGCAAGGGTTTACTAGGGTTTATGGTGAACGACTATATCTTGCCTGTGCAATTCTATCTATTTCTTCGTCTCTTCCAATAACTGGAGGCAGCAAACCCTGCTGAGCCATAAACGAAAGATCGACGCCATATTGAGAAATAGTAACATCTGATGCCCCTTGTTTATCTCCAACCATATCTAGGAAAGACGTTGGAAATACACCGCGTTGGCGCCCTTTAAAATTCGCTACGACCTCCCTATACACCGCACATCCACAAAAATACACAAAAAAACATCACATCTGTATATACATGTATGCATATATATATATATATATGCATACATGTATATTATTTATTTCTCGCTTTTTATTCATTCCTTTATGCATATTCATTCAAATGGTCAATGCGTTTATTTAAATGCTTCACTTCTTCCTGTGTATTGAAATAATGCATTTTTTTTCTGTTTATTCACTCAAATTCTTCATTTTCTTCGGTGTATTCAATGAAATAATACATTTATTTCTGTCGACTGAATAGATGCTTGATTTCTAACTCTCTACTGGCTAATAAGTGTTTTATGTCTTCTATTGTGTGTATTACTTAACACCCATAGATAAAACAAACAAGCCTTTAAACTTACGATTTAAATATCTTCAAATCGCATCCGCTCTTCGCCATAATCTTCTGAAATGCAGGGATGTCAATTAGCGCAGCATACAAGTGTTGAACACCAATAGGAGACCCTTCGCTCTCAGCCATCTTCCATGACTTCCGCAGAGCATTGCGAAGAGCAACAGAAGGACCGCTCTCCCCCAAGTTGATTGGTGTCTGCATTCAAAAACATAAACAAATCAACATTGTTCATCATTGTTTTATGCGATTTAATGCTGCAGACAATCTACACCACGTTCAATTGGTGTCTGTATCAAAAAAAGAGAAACAACGAGGGTATATATACATATATATAAACAAAGGAAGGGGTTTAGGATGCCAACAAAGACATATGCAATAACAAGGAAGACACACAGAAAATATATATATGTATATATATGTAATGTATGCATATATATATATATATATATATATATATATGTAGAGAAAGTGAGAGAGAGAGAGACTGATAAGGCCCAGGGCTATTAGGTACGGGAAGATACACACCGACACAGCTTGCACGCTACAGGGTGCTGCTGCTGCTGCTCCTGCTTCTGCTGCTGCTGCTGCTGCTCTCTTCTTTTACTCTCTCTGCTTTCCCTGCCCCGGTGTATGTATGTACACTCAGGGTTCGTGTACACCAACAGCGACAGCCCGCTGCAGCGCTACCTCTTGCTACCTATGCAACGGCAAGCTGGATGGCTAGCCAGGGGGATGGCTGGCTAGCTAGCCATCTGTGTAGCTAGCTGTCTACCGGCGGGGGTATCTGGCTAGCTAGCTAGCTAGCCAGCTATGTGGTTGATCCGTTTAGCTGGGTGGCAGCTAGCTGGCTAGCTATCTGGTTAGTAGCTAGCCAGCTACGTAGCTGGGTGGTAGCAAGGTAAGCAGGCAGCTAGCTAGCTAGCTAGTTAGGGACAACTCACAGAAGAGCGAGGGAGATCGACGATGAAGTCTTTGACAGATCTAAGCAAGAAATCGCTGTCGCCATTGCACTTGCCCACCACCTCCTGAGAGACTGCGGGTAGAAACGCACAACACTTAAAGTTTTAGGGTTTAGGGTTTAGGGTTTAGAAGGATATGCGCGGCCCTTAATTGGTCCGACGCCGCCGAGGAGTCGAGTGCGTTTGGCGTAGAAGAAGGTAAAGGCGAATGGTTTAGGGCTTAGGGTTTAGGGTTTATTACTTTCTTTGTGGGGCCCCTCTAAGAGGCAAATAGCGACATGCGCCACAGCCAAGCGATCATTTTGCAGATACCAGGCCAACAGCTCTACGCACTCAGTTACGAGTTTAGCATCAGGAGTTAAGTCCCCTCCTCCCTGCACGTAAACCCTAAACCCTAAGAAAACCCTAAACCCTAAACCCTAGGAAACCCTAACAAACCCTGCTAGGGAGTCATATCCGAAAGCTCCGCAAACACTCCGCAAACACTAAACCCTAATAAACACCACTGCAAGCACGAAGACGCGCAGGATGCACCCGCACCCGTAAATACCCACGTATCTCCGCCACCACACCCTAAACCCTAAACCCTAAAACCTAAAACCTAAAACCCTAAACGGCATGGGCTGCGGCGGCTCCCCGGATGGCTGCTGCTGGCTGGCTGCCGCGGGAGAAGAGAGCGATGAGGATACAGCAAACTCACAAAGTCACCGCCCTGATTTGCTGCAGCATCAGAGAAATGCAAAGAAGAGAACAGCAGCAGCAGCGGTGCTGCTGCTGCTGCAAGGAGGAGCCGCATGGCTGGGCAGGGGCTGCTTGCTGCTGAGGTTTGTTTTGAGGTTTCTGCTGCTCTCTTCGTGGTGACTAGGAAGAAAAAAAGTAAAAAATACAAAAAATAGAAGAAAAAGAAAAAATAAAACGGGGGAAGACGCCCGTCAACGAGGCCAATTCACAATCGAGTCAAAGCAGAACACAAACCCTAAACCCTAAACCCTAAGCCGTGAACCCTAAACCCTAGTAAACTCAAACCCTTCAAGCGCGGTGCTTGCGAGCTTCTAGATGCCTTAACACCCTTAAAAACCCCTTAAAACCCTAAACCCTAATCGCTAAACCCTAGTATGCTTCGCACGAGTTGGGCGCGCCCTGGGGCTGAGAGGACCGCCGCTGCTTTCTCGCAGCGATTGAGACTGGGGCGTATATACAGCTGAGTTGTTGATGTTTTGTTGAAGATTTAACCATTAAAATAATTTAAAACAATTAAAATAAATAAAAATTGATGCAGTTTAATCCAATTGCGCAGTCAAACAAACGCGAAAACCCAACAACACCACCGACAACAACACACGAGAGGGAGCGCGCGCTCCATAGAACCCCAAGCCCTAAACCCTAAACCCTAAACCCTAAACCTTAAACCATTAACTTTAAACACTTCACTGCATCTAAGGAGCTCTATAGGCAGAAGGGTTTTGCAAGAAAGCCTCCCACAGGGGGGTATCGAGTATGGCTTACGTCACCAGCATGAGAGTTTAGGGTTTAGTGTGGGTTAGGGTTTAGGCCTAGGGTGTGGCCCTAGGGTTTAGGGTTTACTCCTACATCTAGAGTTTGGTCATGGGGTTTAAGTGAACGTCAACAACTGCGTCAGGTGTCCGGCCGACGACCTCCAACCAAACCATCAAACCCTAAACCCTAAAACCCTAAACCCTGATTCTTTAAGCCTGAGTGGGATTAGGAGATCGCTGCTAACACTACGGAGTCTTCTCCTGCCCTAAACCCTAAACCTTGCAAGGAAGTCGCCGTTATTTAGGGTTTTTTAGATTACAAAACCCCAAACCCTAATCTCAATAGTATCATCAAACTAGCTGGGCGCGTTCTCGGCAGCAGCAGCTGCCGCTGCTGCTGGCGTATCAGGTTGATTCGTTGTGCAGTCGCTGAGGGTTTGCGGTCTAGGGTTTAGGGTTTAGGGTATAGGGGTGTCTGGGACCCTGGCGACGGCCGCGCAAGAAGTTAGGGAGT